GTAAAGTTTGTTTGAGTGCAACCCGACAGGAAACTACTGGAAGACGGCACTTCCCATTTTCATTCTGAATCAGTGGAGCTGCGGCGATACCGTGTCATAGGTATCGCTCGTCGGTGTGGTGGTATCGACAACCTCAATGCATTCACTGCATCATGGCCTCCTACACAAAACACACACGGCGCCTCGGCCCAACAACAGGAAACCATGTTTTTAGTGTTGATGTTCAACTAAAAGGAGAAGTGAAGGAGGAGGAAATCCTCATCTCTGTTTTAAATAGAGATATTAAGAAAGCTGATGTCTGTTAGGGCTTTTGGGGCCAAAGCTTCCTTTTTTTTTTTTTTTTTTTTTAAATCTCACTGTTACTCATCAGCAGAAGAAACGTTTCTCTTTCTGGTGTAAAGATAAGGACAACGTTTGTCAAGTTTCGTGCACGCCTGTGTGGGAGAGGCGTTGACACACAGCGAGCGTGTGAGGGATATTCAAGATGGTGATGTCCTCAATGACAGATGTCAACGCTTTATTTCACCGTTTAGGAGAAATCCCTGTAAAATAAAAGTAAAAACGCTAAAGTGACCCGAAAAGCAGAAAAAAAAAAAATAATAATAATAATCTTCAACCTTTACTACAACTTTTACACGTTTGACACGTTCGGTGTGTACGATATTTCAAAAGAATGTAGAACGACCCAGTTGATGAAGTTCACATTTGTTATCCCTTTTCAGATATTTTTATTGTGTCACATGACTCGTAATCCTTTTTTTTTTTTTTTTTTTTTTTTTTTGCTAAACATCATTCTCGACATGATTTGCCCAATTTGACATTGAGTGTGTTCTGCATCTTCTTTTCTCATTTCTCTCTAAACTTTATCAACATTGCACTCCACAAATGTGGAAAAGTGAAAATGTTAAATGTAGCTGTACACTATCCTTACGGGATTAGTATTACCTGGTTGACCTCTGGTAAATATGAGTAATTGAGGAGGTCGTCTGGGTTTTTTAATCCCGTATGAATATTTGCAAAGTAAATATCAAAGTAAAAGTCAATTTACCGACCACATTTCAGCACACAGATCAGATCCTCTGATAATAGTTATCCTGTCCGAATAGGCATGTCAGCCATTTTTTCCTTTAAGATGGTTTCAGCAGCTTTTTCTGCTCTCAGCATAATGGAGGCTGTGCTGGACATTATAAACGAAGGGCGACAGAGGAGAAGAGTCTGGTCAGCGTCTTAGGACCCTGTTGTGAAGGTTGGATCAGACGCCTTTCATTGGCAGAACGTGGGGGGAGGGGGGGGGGGGGGGAGATACAGCATGGAGACTATTTGGGAGAAGGAGCATCTAAAAATCCATCAGAAGATCCAGATGTTAAAGAGTGAATATTGCTCCTTTCACGTGTTTATTGTGCTCATTGTTTGGTTGTTTATAGAAGTATAAAGTGCAGTACTGAATGTAGATGTCGGGCATCGTGCAACACCTCAACGTTTTTGATCAGAAACGTCAGTAAATAGGAGGAAATTATCGACTTTGTTTATCCCCTGGGATTGCACGGGGTCAAACATTGACATTAGGGGCGTACTTCCCAAATGATCATAAATTGTTTTTGTTTTATTTTGTTGGATGTTCTGACTTATATGAAGGATTTTACAGGATAGGCAGAAATCAGCCTCGGGCTTCATTCAGCCTATATTCCTTTTTTTTGGTCATTGATTGTTTGAATGTTAATGTGTGAAATGGACAAGTGGAAATGTTGCACCCTTGAAATGAACTCGTCCATCTTCACTTTTAGCGACTTTTATTAAAGAAATGCCCCACAGCTTTACTCAAGCTTTGTTTCTCAGCCTACACACACATACACCTCTGTGTCTTCTTTACTGAGCCTCCCTTAAAGGGCCAGCGTCTTAATCTTAAAAGGAAGATAAAACACACTTTACTGTTTATAACTTTGTTTTCTTTTACTGATGATCTTAGAAATATAAATTAACTTAAATACTTCTGGAAATTAAATTAGTTTAACTAGACACACTGTATAACAAAATGACAGAAAAAAATATGAAAAAGCATTTTCAGCAAGTTTTTTTGTTTTTATTTCTGTAAGTGGATTATTTGCACAAATATTTTTGACTCTTGTTGTTCTTTAATTAATGACCAAATAAAAAACTTTAATTCATTCATTCAAACCGGGCTTAATACATTCTTAAAGCACATTTTAGCCTCTTTGTCTCAGCTTCCTGTTGCTTATCTTAACTAATACACTTTCATGTTTCAGTGTGTATTAATAGACCACTTGTCATAGCTGTCCCCTGTGGTTTTCACCCACACACATGCACACATTGCACATATATAAAAAAAAAAGTTTTCAAATCACATGTATGAGCTAAATGGAACTTTGTATGTAAATGTTACAGATTACTAATCAAGAAATGTTCATACATTCTCCAATAAGCATGATTACACATTTGGGAAATTCAGGAGGTATCATATGTCAGCTCGTCCCGTGTGCATCACTCAGCGACTGTGCACGCTCTCTCTGCGCCGTCAGTGTTTGTTCACAAATTTTTCTACACTCTCATTGCGACTGTGGCAGAGGGGAGGAAGTGAGAGTGAAAGAGAAAACCCCTTTAGTCTGCACTCACTCTCTCTCTTACTGTGTCAGCGTAAAGGAAAAGGTGGGTGGGGGCTTCGGCTGGTCTGAGAGATGCATCACCTCGGGGGGCGGCTGTCTTATCAGGAGTCTCTCCTGTGATGCACAAAAACAGAAGGGAAAATGTGTCCTCAGGTAGATTCACAATTCAGAAGAATTTTCCTCTTGCTTTCCTCAAGGAACTCTCCCTAACCCGCCTGTGGTGTGTGTGCGTGTTTGTGTGTCAGTGCAAACGTCTGACTAAGCAGCTGTGTCACATTGAAAACCTGTCTAAATTACGAACCTTATCTCATGCATAGCGGAGAGATGAAGTCATTATTATAAAGACAGACATTTTGACATAGATTAGATAATAGATGTTTTAAGGAAACATTTCCCTGAAGGATTTTTAAGGTATTATAAATGTAATAAAAGTCAATCTGTATTTAAACAATGCTGCATAAAACTGAACTTTCATGATGTGATTCAAACTATCAAGAAAAACATTGCAGTTCTGTTTTCAATACTCAAATGTAAAGTAAGCACAGAAAAAGGAATCCTTGTCCACGCAGTCCCAGACTTGATTTTCAGCGGTACAATTTCCAAATGTCAGACTCTCAGACTTAAAATCTGTTGTGAAATCCATAACCACAGTTTGCTCATGAAATGGTAAATGGACTTGAGCTATATAGTATATACTACATGGCCTTGCACCAGACCACCTATCAGATATGATTTTAGTTTATGAACCAGTACGGCCCCTCAGATCCTCCAGTTCCTCTCTCTTAGTTGTTCCACAGAGCAGGACAAAAACCTTTGGTGATGCTGCTTTCAGCTGTTACGCTCCGAGACTGTGGAACGACCTTCCCGAGGGTCCTGAGAGGAGCGCAGAATCTTAAAACTCATTTATTCAGTCTGGCTTTGATATAGTGCTTTATATAAATTCAAATCTTAACATTACTGTATTGTCTTTTTTTATCTTACTACAATTTAAAATATTCTTCTCCTATGTATTAGTTTTAATATCTTGCTGCTTTTATGTGTCGTATTTTCCTCTTCATTTTTATATATATTTTTTAATTCTTATTGGTGTGCATTAGTCTCTCAATGATTTTATAAACTACTTTTTTGTCAATAACTTATCTGCACTCTTGAAAAGCACTTTGAACTGCAATTTAATTTGTCTGAAAGGTTCTACCGTAAAATCCGGTGTATAAGACGCACCCTGTTTTTAAGGTCTCTATGAGAGAAAAAAAACTTTAAACTGTTTTCCTGCGTGAGGATTTATATTGTGTTCAGCGATGTCTACTAACGTGCAGCTGTGTCGCTCTTTTAGTTCCGTCTGTTTTCACTTCTGGGAGTTTGTCCTCCTACTAGCTACAGGACGGTAGTTGAGCTCTCAGCCTGCAGGGAAAGCTGGCAGAGGCACAGACTCCTAGTTTTCAAGTCGCGCTGCCCGACTCCGCTTGTCACTCTTTAACTTTAATATAGGACTCTTTCAATCAAAAGAACACTCCACAAGGTTTATTTACAGAACAATATACCACTGTTTTCTATAAATGCGTGATTATGACCTCGTGAGGGAGAAAAGACGTGAAAGAAGTCGCGCAGCCAGCCAAAGACTGTGTGTCTGCAGCCTGGTCTGTGTCGCCGTCTTTCCCAGCACAGCGTGCACTCAGCTTTCAATACACAATGAATGGGGATGGGTTTTTAATCACTTCAGGTCACAGTGATAGGGGCTGCTGCCCCGCTGTGATGACGGCGCGTGTTTCAGTATTTTATACTGAACCGGTGTATAAGATGCAGCCAACTATTAAGACGAAAAAATAGGCATTAAAAGTGCGTCTTATACACCGGATTTTACGGTATATAAATAAAGTTTGATAGCGCTTTTCTAGTCGTCTACTCAAAGTGCTTTTTACACCGCAGGTCACACCTACACATTCACACACTGATGGTAGAGGCTGCTGACCATCAGGATTAATTAATCCCATTCCTATACATTCATACACCACTGAAGAAGCAGCGGGAGCAATTCGGGGTTGAGTGTCTTGCCAAAGGAGCTGGGCATCGAACCCTCGACCTTCCAGTCGAGAGACGACGACCCTACCAACAGATACCTACACTTTACAAATCCATGCGTACGGAGTTGCAAACTATGGGAGTGGTTTTCTAAACTGTATCATCATCGACCTTTATTTAAGTTCTCAGAGAGATCATCGAGGGCGACCCTCATTTACAACGACGCCGAGAAAAAACATACATAAATGATGAACGACGAGAAATGAGATAAAGCTACTGCAGAAAATAAAATCAATAAAAGAGAAATAAGAACAATAAAATATAAACACTAAAATAATGTAAAAGCCTGAAATGACTACA